AGAGTTCCTCAGCCAGCAAAGCTGGCTGAGGAACTCTGGGAGTTGAAGTCCACAAGTCTTAAAGTTGCCAAGGTTGGACACCCCTGATCTACAGTTTCAGCATTAAAAAATGCAGTCATTGAATGAATTTTTTTCAGTGGTAGGCTGTCAACTGCTTACCTTCACTTGTAAAGTAGCATCTTGACTAGATCCTACATAAGGAGCCACAGAATCCCAGGTCACAATGACAACACTCTCTGGATCAAAGGTAGTATTTGGAAAGCCCCTTTTGATGTACTTGGCAGCAAGTTGGAGGGTCTCAGGGGAAGAATCTTTCCTGTAATATACATTTCCACGTCCACCTGTAGTATCCAAGTCCGCATAAAAGGGAGCAAGACCTCCAAAACTAAGAGGAAATTGACCAAGATAGTCGTCTTCTCTTAATGGACTACTCACTGCTATGATGCCATTAGTAAGAACCTAGTTAAAATAAAAAGTATGTGTTGCAAATGCTCAGATATAATGCAATCAAACAATGCTTACCTTTACCATTTTGAAAATATTAAAAAAATCTCAGAAAATTGTGCATTTGCCTATCTGAATAATAGGCAGATTGTGTATTTTCCAAAATGGAGGAATCACCCATTGGTGCTGGAGCACTCAAGAAAATCCAAGATACAATCTAAAACCATCACAGCACTGCCAGAGCTTTAACTTGAATATTGAATTGAATTGAATTGAATAGAATAGAATAGAACAGAATAGAATTCTTTATTGGCCAAGTGTGATTGGACACACAAGGAATTTGTCTTTGATGCATATGCTGTCAGTGTACATAAAGAAAAAATAAAATATATTCATCAAGAATCATAAGATACAACTGTGATAGTCATAGGATACTAATAAGCAATCAAATCATACTAGGAAACAATAAAAACAATATAAGTTGTAAAGATACAAGCAACATGGATATAGCCATAAGTGGGAAGAGATGTGTACTAATAAGGATGAGAAGAATAGTAATACAGTCTTAGTTAATTTGACAGTGTTGTGGGAATTAGTTGTTTAGCAGAGTGATACAATCGTTACTGAAACTTAAGGCCATAATATTGCATTTTGCTGTAACTCAAATAACATTCTTTTTATCATTTAGCTTGATGACGGAGTCAAAAACATTTGTACAGCTTAATGTATTCTCCAGGTTGGCCTAAAGATATAAGGTTGTCATAATATGGATTTTTTTAATGCAGTTGATATTTTTTTTTTTTGTATGATACTATCTTGAATAGCAATTTCACTTATAGTATTAAATGTATAGAGCAGTCAGGAAATATATAACTAGACTCAAATAATAGAAACCAATATGAATCTACTGCAAATCAAATTAATACAAATTAATGTTGTAAAACAATTGCAATTAAGGGTACATTTTAATAATTGTATTCTGCAAAGTTCAGCATTGATCTGATCAGAGTGTAACTATAGCTCTTTTCAGATATAACAGAATTCTGAGCCTTTAGTGCAGGGGTGTCAAACTCGATTTAATTGAGGGCCACATCATGCTTGTGTTTGACTTGGGGGGGCAGGGGGGGCATGGTCAGGGTGGGTGTAGCCAACTCAATGTCACTTGTGTCGGGGGCACCTGTGGTGGCCCGAGCACTCTGCCAGCAAAAACGGGCTCTCGAGCTCTGTTTTTGACTGTGACGGCCCTCCTGCAACCTTCTGCCAGCAAAAACAGAGCTCAGGAGGGTCACGTGTGGCCGTCCCGAGCTGTTTTCACTGGCAGAAGCCCCACAGGCCAGATCTAAGCACCCCGTGGGCCAGATCTAGCCCCTGGGCCTTGAGTTTGACACCTCTGCTTTAGTGGATATGAAATATGTTTGAGGTAAACATTAATTTCAGAGGACTTTTGTACCAACCTATAAGTTGATTTGTGTAGTTTAGAGCAGTGATCCCCAACCTTTTTTATGCCGCGGCCCGGTACCGGCATCAGCTGGGCACCGCGGCCCGGTACCGGCATCAGCTGGGCGCCGCCATCTTTTTTTGATGAAAAAGTGCTTCCGGTAAGCTTTCTACCCGGAAAAGCTCACCGGAAGCACTTTTTCATCAAAAAAAGATGGCGGTGCCCAGCAAAACAGCGGCCCGGTAGGACTTGTTCCACGGACCGGTACCGGTCCGCGGACTGGTGGTTGGGGACCCGTGGTTTAGAGTGTCTTAGTTAAAAGATACTATTATGGTTTCTCTTTAGGCTTCTTAGGTTGAGCTATGAAGGTGTGAAAGGAAGGATATAGTCCCGTGATGGCAAACCGGTGGCACGCGTGCCATAGGTGGCACGCAGAGCCATTTGTGCCAGCACGCGAGCTACAGCAAACTTACCTCACTGGGCACATGCGCGCCTCACAGTTGGTTTTCAGCCAGTTTGAGGCCTTTTTCATTGTCACAAAGGCTTGAGGAAGGCTTCTGCAGGCCGAAAACTAGCCCCATTTCATCACTTCCTGTTTTTACGAAAATACCGGAAGTGATGAAACGGGGCTAGTTTTCAGCCTGCAAAGCCTTCCTCAACCTTTGGGAGGCCGAAAAAGGCCTCAAACCAGCTGAAAATCAGCTGTGAGGCGCAGTGAAGGTAAGGGGGTGGCAGGGGTGGGTGGGTAGGGATTATGCGCACATGCATAGGGGGCGTGGGGGGCACATTGCCTTCTGGGTGCTGGCATGCGAGTGCAAGCATACAAGCACACACACAATTTTTGGCACAGGAGCCCAAAAAGGCTAGCCACTACTGATATGGTCTATGTGTTAAGAAATTCTGTTTCATCTTGATTCTCTTAGCCATTCATGACACTACGGACGCTATGTTTCTGTTAACAAATATTTTTACATTTTTTTAAGCAACTGCATGACACAACCGCCACTTCATTGAGAACTTTTTGACACATCCTGCTAAAACCATCCTTCGCCTTCATTTGCTTTGATGTGATGTGATTGTTCCCTTCTCTTCTCAGAAATCCCTGGTTTTACATTTTTATTTTGTATGCTTCCCTGTGGAATCCTGGTCCCTGAGGTGCTATTTTTCTAATTACAAAGAACTACTTTAATATATTTTTTTAATTAATGTAGTTATAAATTTAATAAGATTATGTATCATGTTTATCTTGAAATGTCACTGTCTGCTCCACCACTTCATTTTGTTAATCTTCAGTTTCACACACTTAGAAGAATTGTGTGCCACATTGACTGACAAGTGTCTATAGACTCATTTTTATTTAATAGCATGACTGGTGGAAGAGAAATCTCTATCAGGTTGTCTTCCCATATTTATTGTAGTAAATATTGTAAATGCCATTCCCTCCCATTCGTTCATTTTTTTTCATATCTACAGTACGAGAATGGTATATAATTCACCAATTTTAATTCCCAGTATAGAGAAAAGATTTAACTACATACATTTGACAAGTCCCAATTTAGGATGAAATTTGTCATGTAGTACCTCCTACATGACAGATAAGTAAAATAAGTAAAAAGGTATTTGTTTGTAGTACTCTTTTTAGAATATGACCTGATATGATATCATTGTACTGGTTGAGTTTCACACCCTATGCCAGGGGTGTCAAACTTGTGTCGTTGTCACATGACATAGCGTGACTTTTTTCCCCTTCACTAAACTGGGGGTGTGGCCAGTGCGTGTGATGCATTGGCCCATGGGCCAAGAGTTTGATGCCCCTGCCCTATGCTAAACCATAAATTATGTATGGTTTATTAATTATTTATTATGGTTAACTAGATGGATTTACACTTCATGCTAAGATACAAAAAACATGATTTGTAGACAATAATGGCTGAATTCATTGCACATGCTAAGCCAAGCACTGCCAAATCCTTTTGGCTTAGCATAATAGATGTCTACCTCCCCCAGCACAATCCATCCTGCTATTATCCTTAGCCTCATATGTATATTGATGCTAATTTAGCAGGCTTGTGTTTTCAATATACTGCTACTTGACTATGAGGCACAAACCTTATAAGGATGTCAAAAGAAAACAGAACAGATTCCATCTTTGTTATTTACTTTACAACTCTGGCATTTCCTTACCAAGATAAGATAATTGCTATAGTCATACTTTCCCAGAAGGACTGAGGAGAACCTTCTCAAACAGATGCAGCTGTAATACTTCTGGATAAATATATACAGGATGCCAAACAGATAAAAACCGGTTAGGATGTCTGGTAGGAAAACCAATGCTACATCTTTCAGAGGCCAGAAGTTTTGATTCAAGGATATTTATAAAAATCATTTTGATATCAGTGATATAACATTGATATCAGTGAGCAGGAATACTTACTAATACTTAATAAGTAACAGAAACACTTGTTGTTACACATTTCTAGATGATTTATGATGGGTTCATATTGTTGTAGAAAAGGTGACATCATAAGGGAATTTTGCAATGATTTCTTAACTTCAACTGAAGGTAGGAATAAATAGACCCCTCAACTCCAGAATTTGATTGCCCAATTATTCATACCATCTCAGAAGATCATATCTTCCCTTAAATATAACGTCCTCAAATTCTCCAACTCTTTAATCTAAAATCACATTTATTTGATCCAATAGAGTATTTGATAAATTGTAAACAGATAATTTTATGTCACTGAATAAACATTTAAGAATCTGCTCTAATTGTGTAAACTACTATAGCTAAAAAATTTGCTGTTCATCCATCTCTTCATCAGATATCTTTAATGATATGACTCAAGAACAACAAAAACACTAATATAACACTATGTTTTAAAAAAGCTAAAGACTGGGATATCAACTTCTGCTTATTCATCATCAGATACTGATTAGCCAAAGAAAAATAATTGTGCTTTGAAATGAGTTAGCTATTCCAGACTTTGCTTTGAATAAGAAAACAACTATCAACGTTTTCTATCTGACTAAATCTAAGTGCAATTGCTGGTCAAATGCCCCCATATCATTCTTCTAAAGAATATTCACTGATGTGGAAAGAGATTCCTTTCTCTTCACATGGAACAAAGGAAGAGCCAACTATAATGTTAGAAAGTCACAATATTATGTGTCATTTCTCTTATTGTATTTTCAAATATATGTTGCTGTTACCTATATTTTGCTTTATATGGTGGTCAGCCCAAAATCAATCAATAAAATTTCTGTACCCAGGTTACAAATTCAAAGTCTGCAACACCAAAAGAAGATACTAAAACTTACTTTTACAATCACTAAGGTTCAATCTCTTGTGATTATTACTCATATGCTTACAAACATTGAGTATTTGTATTTTTATAGTATTTTATTTGTTTTGTGTATATGTTTTGTAGTTTTATGTTTTTAACACTGTAAGCTGGCCAAAGTTGCCCTGTATGATGGTGTCCAATAAATTTAATATAATAATATTAATAAAATATAAATAAATAAACATATGTTGACGCCATGGAGGTTCAAAACCAAGGCTCTTCAAAAATTT